GCCACGTCTGGCACTGGGTTTGGGGAATTTGAACTCAGGTCCTCGTGCCTCCGTGGCAGTGTTTTACCCATGCACACATCTCCCCAGTTCTTACTCTGTAGTTTTAAAAGTAGAAGTGACAGCATTTTGCACCCATTATGACAACGCTTATCAAGAAAACAGAAAGTACCAAGTGTTGGTTGAGATGTGGAGAGGCTGGAACCACCGCACAGTTGGTAGGGATGTAAGATGACGCAACTGTGACAGGAAAAAGTATGGTGATCCTAAAACAAATTTTAAAAGAGTTGTCATGCGATCCGGCAGCCTAATTTCTGGGCTCATACCCCAAACAATTGAAAATAATGATTCAAGCAGACACTTATGCATCCGTATTCATAGTGGCATCGTACAAGAAGCCAAAAGGTAAAGTAACCCAAGTGTTCGTTGACAGATGAATGACAAAACGTGGCACAGAGAATGGAATTATGAGTACAATGGAAGAAAAACCTAATGCATTGTGCAAAGTAAAGGAAGCCAGTGATAAAAGGCTGTACATGACTCTGCTCATGTGAGATACCTGGTCAGATTCAGAGCGACAGGGTGATAGCTGCCAGAGACTGAAGAGAAGAGGGTTTACTGTTTAATAGGCACCAAGTTTCAGTTTGAGAAGATGAAGATGCTGGATATCGACAACGATGATGGTTCCCCATGGTGTCAATTCTTAATGTCACTGACCGACTTATTTTAAGATGGTTACAATAACAGACTTTAGACTTTACTACAGTCAAAAGAAACCCAGCAAAAACATTACATTTTATATAAATGTGTTGAATTAGTCTCTCCTTTGAAAGATAACTGATTATGAACAAATTCATGTTGCTAAAAATGGAGGTAAGCCCAATCTAGTACATTCTTCCTTCCGGCAGCCACCTGCTTCTCACTTTGAGAACAAAACCATCAATTACGTGTTGATATAATGTATTTCTTCTCAGTCTTAGGAACCTCAGTAGCTAAGTATGGTGGCCTACGCTGGTAATTCTAGCAGTTAAAAAAAGTGGATGTAGGAATATTGAGAATTCAAAGACAGACAAGACTATATTGCAAGGCCCTGTATCAAAACAGAAGACCCTAAGATGATGACTCACAAGAACATTGGCTGCTCTTCCAAGGGACACGGGTTTAAGTCACAGTACCTACATGGCAGCTCACAACCAACTAACTCTACTTCCAGGGGATTCAGCACCTTCTTCTAGCTTCTTTGGGAACTGCATGCATGTGATGCAAACATATGCAGACAAAAGATCCAAACACATAAAATAAATCATTAAAAGGGGGGATAGGAAGGGAGTTGGCGAAAAGGAGGAGGAAGAGACAGAGGAAGAAAAATCAAGAAGCGTCACTCAAACTCAGAAGCACGCAGTTGAATGGTGGTTCCATAAATTGGGGGTGGAGATGTGAGTGAGGAATGGAGACATTGGTCAAGGGGTACAAAGTTTGTTAGGCTGGAACAAAAAATTCTGAATACCTAATGAAGAGCTAATGAAATGACTATGGTCAATAATACTCTAGCATTATTGAAATTTTCTTGATGTTTGCTATGACAGTAGATCTTAAATGTTCTCACTTCAAAATGAGAAAGAAAATGGTAATATAGGAGATGATGTGATGAATATGGTAATTATATTTGGTGATCATCTCATAACATATACCTACATAAAACATCAAGCTGCATGCCTTTAAATACATGCAACTTCTTTTGTCAATTATACTATAATAGATCTGGAGAAAGAAGGACTTTGCCCTTTGAGGCCAACAGAGGCCTTTGGGGGGAGGGTGGGGAAGCCAAATGATCTTTTCATTTTGTAGGCAGACAATGAGCTAAATAAAATAAGTCACTAGATTCTTGTCCTTAGCACCCAGGTCTCTTTGTTCTCATCTGCCAGGGAAGGTTTCTTTATCTGCCAAGAAGGTTAAGGGGTTCTTCAGATAGGAAAACATAAAATTTAAAATAGAAAGAACAGCTAAGTGATTTTTAAAAGATTTATTTTTATTATTTTTGATATGTGAATGTATGTATCTCTGTGTACATACGTACAGTATGTGAATGCTGGTGGCCAGAGGCTTTGGGTCCCCTGGAGCTGAAGTTACATGGTTGTGAGTCCCCTGATATTGGTGCTGGAAAGCACACTCAGGTCCTCTGTGTGTGCTCTAATCCCAGCCACATTTGCAAATGTCAGTCACTTGCAAACCACTCCCTATTCATCTACCATCTGGGCAGCTGAAAGCTGACCTGAACACTCCTTAGAGCCACAGGCAAGAAGCTTCCCAGCGCAGGGAAGCACAGCAGAGCTGTGTTGTCCCAGCCCTATTTGTCCTGGGCTGCCATCCTTCTCAGACAGAAACTGGTCCTTAAGATGAGACGCCAGTGGCAGCTGATGGAGGCTTCAGGGTGGGACTTAAAGCTGTCATGGTGAGAGTGTCAGCATGATGATATTTAGTGGCTCCCTTTCAGGAAAAGGATGACAGGAAGAGGTCACAAGGGGGCTTTTACGGATGGTGTTAGACTGTGTTCCGGGATTTGAGTGCCGGCAACACCAGTGTATTAGTTTGTGCAAGTTTACCAGCTGAGCATTGATGATTTGTAAAAGTAAACCTGTGGTCATCGATGCTAGAAATGCCACGCTCATCACTCTCATTCCAGTGCCCGGGACAAGAGGCCACTCCCTCGGTAAATAGCTATGGATAATCTATTAATGAATGAATGGACAAACTAATCTCTTTAAGGAAAACGTCTGCGGAATTACACTAAGTAGTACCTTTGTAGGTTCATGATACAGTACATACAGATTCCATTCTGTCCTTCACATGAGGGAAAGGATACTAATAAAAGTGACCAAGGAAGAGTTCCCTAAGAAAACTGTCTGCTGCCCGGGTCCATACATTCTCACACACACTTCTGAAGCACTCACACCTGGCCATCATCACCACGTGAGCCGCACACGAAGCAGTATTTCCAAAGACGGCTTCCTTTCCATTGGTCATCACTGCTGCAATAACAACACTGAGGTGTAAGGGTGTTTGCGCTCAGTCCATGGACTTAACACTCCTGCTATACAAGACTAGGTGAGTTCTCTGAGACCTGTTGCTCTCCTTTTGAAATTCAAACTGTCAAGCACAGTTTTAACATCTGTTATAGCACTATACCCCCAATAATATGAAATACTTAGGAATTTTCCTGAGTCTGGGTTGTGAAAGAAAAATTAACTCACTTTTGAACTGACTGGTAATTGCAATAATTCTAACAGCTATGACACGGATGTTCAATATTACTTTCCTTTGAAGTCTTCTTTTCTACTAGCAATGTGGAGGGGCTTGGTAAAAGTAACACACATTGTCACATATTTAGGATACTGGAGGCCACTTTAAGTTTCTGTGCTAAGACTTTTAACTCAGTATAGAATTTGAGGAATAGCTCTTCCATAGTCCAAATCATCTACAAAGGGCATTTAGGATTGGGCTTTTGGTTGGATATAAATGTTTGGCTTAGGACTGGGGAGGCGGCTAAGCAAGTACAAGCTCTTTCGATGCAAGCCAGTGAGGTGATCTCTAGAACTCACGTAGAAATTGTAATGCAGTGCCCAGGACGTCTGCAGTGAGGGGGGAGGGCAAGAATTGGTCAGCACACAACTGAGCTGCTGAAGTTGTGGGTGTAGGTTGTGGGGGGAGGCAAGGGGTGAGGTAGGAGAGGGACTCTTGCTCATGGTGACCTCCCTTCTGTGCTGGCTGGAGCCAAGGGACTGCCAGCCAGCTCCAAATTATGAACAGGTAGCCCGGAGCAAAGGGAAAAAAATAACCTGCCCACCAGCCCTATAGAGGACCCAGGGAACTATCCCGCTGCACCTGCTAACCAGAGAACACTTCTCAGAGAATGACTCAATGGCTCTGCCTACTGCGACATCCCGTGTCCTTCCTCCTGCCACCCACCCCACCCCGTGCTGTGGCAGATGCGGGCCGAGAGTGTCCTGGCCCGCACACCGCGTAAACCAGCGTGCAGTGGCGCCCACCCGCGCTGCCTGGAGGACCCGGGGCGGTGCCGGGCACAGATGGCGCTCTCAGCTAGATGATGCTCCAGCTCCTGCAGTTACTCCAGATTCAGCACAGCATCCTGGGACGTAGCTGTTGTCAGATCCCAGCACTGCGAGCCGGGGCAGGAAAGAGGCTCTTTCCAGTCCGTCTCAAACCCGGCAGGCCAGCCCTGATAAGCCCCTGTCCTCAGAGCCTGGGTGTGGTGCGGGGGACCGCCAGGGCCCTCACCTAGAGGCCAACAAAGCCTCCTGCAAGTGTCCCCAGCGCGCGGTCTCCAATGTCTATGCTATTCTCCTCTCATTCCTCTCAAGGGCTGAGAGAGTCGAGGTGGGCAGTCAAGTGTCGCCCCCTGAGCACGGCGATTCGCGCAGGTGTGAGCACATCTAAACAAAGCCCACGCCCAGATGTGTCCGCGGGGACACGAACGCGCGCACGCTGCTGCGCGCCCCACGGGACTCAGGGGCTCCTCGCCCGGAGACCCTGTCTTGTGACACTCCGAGTCCTCAGCGTACCAGCCCGGAAAGCTGTGTGCTGCCCATCTGTCCACGGGCAGACCCCTAGAAGAGGCTTCCGGGAAGGCGTGGGGCACCCGCGCCCAGCCAGAAGTTGACCTGGAACCTAAGGAGTGGTGGGCGCCCGCCGGCGGCACCGGAGCTGCCGGGTCCGAGCCGCGTAGTCCCCCGGGCGCGCGTCTCCCTTCTCCAGCGGGCGCCCGCGGCTGTGTCAAGGGCTGGCAAGGGAAAACGAAGTCGCCGACCTGTTTCGCCCGTGCGGCAGACGCTGCCAGACTCCCACAAGAGCCTCGGCTGAGCCCAGGAGCCAGTGTCCGAGTGACAACGCGGCAGCCTCCGGCTCCTCGCTCCGCTCCAGCCGCGTCCACCCACCAGAACTGAGTGTCACCAGTGCCACCGCCAGACACACCCAGGGTTACTCACGTTTTCGCGCCGCGCCCACCGTCCCGCCGGGGCGTTACTGCCCAAGACCCCGAAGCGCAGCTGTCGTGCGTGTTTCAGAAGCTGTCGCCTCCAGCTGCCCCAGTCCGGCTGTCCCTGCGCGGTCCCTCGCTCCCGCGCGTCTGAGGCTCGGACTGCTGCGCGCGTCCGCCGGCGACCCAGGCGAAGCGCGCGTCCCCGCCGCTCCCGCCCTCCGCTCCCCTTTCCCAGCGTCCCGCTCAGGCCCCTCCCGACTCTCGTAGCGTCCCCGCGTCCCCCTCCCCCGCACTCTCCGGGCGTCTCCCGCCCCTTCCCCTCCGGGCCAACCCCCTCCCTCCCGCAGCGGCGGCTACAGCGTATGGGTTCCAGTGTCTGCGCCCTGGGGACTGGGTGGCCCCTCACCTGAGCGGCCGAGCCACTGCGGACCTCCGCCACCGCGCAGAGAGTGAGGTGGTGCCTGTGGGGGTGCCAGGAACGCAGGGCGTGAGTGTTCAGAGGGACTGGTGACTGGGATGTTTGTACAGATGTTCCAGAAAATGAGTGTTTTAAATGTCACTCTCTTCAGTTTAGATTTCTGTGATGGATGGATCTGGATCACACATCCCTTCCTCCTTCTATCACTCCAATTCCCTGCTCTCCCTTCTCCTAAGCATTTCATGCCTTTGAAACACCAATTGGGATGGGGTGAGTACTGTTTTACTACCATCCTTTCCAAACACACTTGGGGAAGGGTCCCGGTAGCGATTAAACAGACGCTATTTGCGGTAGAAATTGGGTTTCTGGGGTAGTTGAAATTAGCTTTTCAAACTGTAGAATATTATATTTTTTCAATGCAAAACAAGAACTTTTTTCCTTAGATGTGTAGAATTTGCATAAGCACACTGCATACCGCACAATTCACGCTCTGGAGTCCCTTGCAGCTCCGTCTGGCGTGATGATGTCCAAGACACATAGTCAGACACTCAACTGGGCCTGCTTTCTTCTGCAGACTCAGTTACAGGCACCCGGTATTGCCCAGGTTGACCGTTTACTACTTACTGGAGCCTGTCATCAGCCTCCAGAATCTGGAACAGGTATTAGAATGGGATTCGTGAATAAAAACGGGTCCCGATTATGGGTCCCTACAGCTCCTCTGCCCTTCTGTAACTTTAATTTGAACTTAAGCTTCAACCCACATGCACTCAAGTGTACAGTGTTCTGGTCTTTCTCCTATGGCAGAGCATACAGGAACCCCTTCATATCTCAAACAATGGAGTGACCTCTTGCTGCGCTGTCATTGGCCACACAATTTTCTCAGTTAGTCTGCGTGCTTCCTACCTCGGTAGTCACTCTCTACGTCTTTTTCTAGAATATTTTCCAAGAAGAGATCAAGAAAGAAAGACAGGAAGGGAGGGAGGGAATGAGGGAGGGAAGGAGGGAGGGAATGAGGGAGGGA